TTTTTTTTGTTTATTTTTAGTTGCCTTTGTTTTTAGTATAATATTACCAACTTATCGTGCATGTATGCATGGTAATGATGGTCGTGATAAACGAACATGTGAAGAATTAGCATGGTATGTGGCATTAGCAAGTAATTTTGCAACGGGAATTATTCTTCTTGTCTTATGTGTTGTTGGTGAATTTATTAGAAGAAATACACCTGGTGTTGCACTTCTTTCATCAATTTCAGGCATTGGTTTTACTTATTTAGCACTAAATGAATATTTACCAGTAGCTGCATCACCTCTTGTATCTTTTTTACCATTTACAATTGTTATGCTTGGTTATTTTTCTGGAGGTAAATTTATTTAAAAAAAAAACAATTATTCAAATTTGAATATTCGAAATTTTAGTAAAATTTGGTCCTATTCCAGTTGCATTTGTTGCTCTTGTTGTTGGTACTATTCTTGGATGGTCAACATCATTAAATCAGGCTGTAGATGTAAAAAATGCTACATCTATTGTTCGACCATATCCATTAGTATTTCCAATAAAAGCAATGTTTTCACATATAGATGAAATAACTCCATATTTATCAACAACAATTCCAACAGCTATATCAATTGCTATTGGAACAATTCAATGTGTTGAAACAGCTAAAAGAGCTGGAGATTTTTATCCAACACGTGAATCTATGTTTGCTGATGGAATTGGAACATTAATTGCAAGTCTTTTTGGATCAATTCTTGGAATGACAAGTAAGATAGATTTTAGTTAATAAAAATAGACTATTTTTCGAGTTATTTAAATAAAACAAATATTGACGAAGCAATTTTTTGCTAGATGTTTTATCAATGTTTTATCATTTTTTAAACTAAATACGACGTACAAATATTTTTAACAAGGACATTTATTCATGTGCTTTGTACTTTGATATGGTTAATTGTACTATTTTTTGAATATACAAACATGTAAAACATTAAGCATAAAAAAATTTTATGATTTGAAACAATTTATAAAATTAATTATATGAAATCTTTAAAAAAAATAGAGATATGAATATGATTATCATTTAGCATATATTGGTCATCCAGCAATGAAAAAAATGGGTGCTAAACAAGCTTATTCAATAGCCAATGGTATTGCTTTTTTACCATTGTGTTTTTTTTGGTATAACTGCTCTACTAATTTCAATAATTGCTATTGTTTCAGTTAATCCAATTATTGTAAGTTTAATATTTAAGTATGAAGTCTTTTTTTTTCTTAAATAATTAAGTATAAATTTAGATATTTATTGGTCTTGTTATTTGTGCTGATACTCTTGCAATAACACCTCAACGTCATTATCCAGCATTTCTTCTTGGTCTTATGCCAATTATAGCTGATTGGGCTAAAGGTACAATAGTGAGTGGTGTTGCAGGTTCTTTTACAGATTTTGTTGTAAATGATACTGATTTTGATAAAAATGTGACTGCACATATATCTGGATTTTCATATCGTGGTCTTTTAAATTTTTCTGGTGGAAGTCTTCTTCAATGTATATTTATAACAGCTATTTTTATGTATATGATTGATAGAAAATTTATTCGAGCAGCTGTATGGTCTTTATTAGCAGCATTTTTTGCTTTTTTTGGTTTAATTAATGCTCCAGGTGTTGGAGTTTTAACAAAAAAAACCGATGATGGATGGAAATTTACTGTTTCTTATGTAATGATGGCAGTTTTATTTGGTGGTTTTGAACTTGCTCAACGAAAACATTGGGTTAAACAACCTGACACAGAGCCAGATGATTTATCATCACTTGAATGGGCTGAATGGAATCGATTAAGATTATTAGAAGAAAACAATCCCGATGAAGAAAATGTTTAGAACAAAAAAAAAACAAACAAAAAGAAACGGATATTGTCTTAGTCTAGTTGTTATTGTTCTTGTGAGATTTTTATGTGTAAAACAAAAGAATATATTTAATTTGCATATAAATAAATTAGAACGAAAAATCATGTCATTGTGAATCTTATGGTTGTTAAAAATAAAAAAATTTTCTATTAAGACCTTCATAATTTGGAATGTGTAATTGGATAGGTTTCTCATGTATTTGTCTGGTGGGCTTCATAGCATGTCATTTGATCTTTTCTTTAAAAAAAAATTTTTTTTGACTCATTTTTGCCTCATTTTATTTTCTTCAATTGAGGAAAAAAAAGAGAGAACTCCAACAGTGACTGAATGATTTACTTTTCTTTTTTCTTTCTTTTCTTTTATATTCGTAGTCGTTTTTTCTATTGTATTATTTTGTCGTTATTATTCTCGTTCGATCTCCTACTGTGATGACAACAAGTAGAATGCCATCAGATTATTATACATCTGATGAATTTGAATATAGAAGTAATAAAAATGGTATTATTACAAATAAAACAAGAAAAGGAAGTTATAATATTGTCGAAAAAGATTATGGTGATCATAAAATTATTTATCATATTCCAGTTGAATATGGTGATGATTATGATATATCAGAACTTGAAGATATGCCAACTGCTGAAGAAGAACAACCACAACAACAACAACAACAACGTAATTCACCAAAACTAGTTCGACGTCGAACTATTCATCAATATGCTGATGTTGGTTATGACAATGATTATGAATATGTTGAAGAAATACCAAGTGTAGCACCTCGTCAACGTATGTATATTTCACCAAGAAGACAAAGAGATCCACAATTTGTCGATCGAATTTATGAAACACAACCAGCATCAGAAACAGTTGAATATGTTTATGAAGATGATTATCCAGATGATTATGATTATAGACCAGAAAATGAAGAACAAGTTGAATATGTTGTAAGAGAACGTGTACCAAAACAAACAGTAAGATTAAATAAATATATTCAATTATTTACAATGCCAATTAAAGTCAAATATTTATATCAATAATATTGTCTCATTTTTTTTTTTCTATTTCAGTATATGGAAGAACCCCGACCTATTCGACGTATAATCCATACCCCGGATCCTTCGGTACCTTTTTCATCCTCAAGACCTACTCCACCAGTTCTTTCTCCTCCTTCACCTGTTCGTTCTCCCTATCAACCATCTCCTCGTCAAGTTGTCACTCAAAAATCACCAACATTAGCTGCGGCTAAACCAATTCGTCGCAATGAAATATCTCCACCACCATCGACTAGAAAACAACAAACTGCTCGATCACTACCAATTCCTGAATCACCAATCAGACAGAATATTTCAAAATCTAATGAACCGCCTTTACGCTTAATGGATATTGTTGCACAAAATCGAGCAAGACGAGGTTCACATATACCTAAACCAAGACGTGAAGTCGATGAAGAACCAGTTTATGATCCACCAACATATAGTAGAAACCTTATTAAAAACGGTTTTATCGTTCATAAATAAACTTATAAGAACATAAAGAAAAAAAAACGAAAGAATTAATCTATTAATAACGGATAATTATCATTTCAATAATCTGTATTAAATAAAATAAAATACATTCATGTTTTTTTTTTCACTATTTTTTTCAAAAATTTCTTTGTTATTTTGCTATTTTGTTTTCGATTATACTTATCAGTCGTAAGTAAAACAAAAAAACAGAAAGATTTAATCTAGATAGATCATATCATTGATAGGATATAAGGATGACCATTAGCTGTCAAAAACTTGGTAAATAAGATAATATACATGAAAAGTTATTCTTAGTTTTAGATCAAAATGAGAAATTCATGCTTGTTTGTAATGATCAATAAAATCGTTCACTAAAACTCTTTTAGAGAATCGTAAATAAAAGATAAATAATCGATAGAATATTGTTAATTGAAATAAACTATAAATTGAATTTGTTCGGAAATGAAGAATAGTCCTTCATATCATCAATGATTACGTTAAAGAAAGTTTATTTAGCTCAGTTGGATTGACATTTACTCAAAGACGATCACTTTTATCATTAAGTCAAATTGATAACTCTATCATTTAATAATTCATACAAGTAATTCAAGAAAAAAAAACAATAAAAAGAAAACCTATCCTTTTTCATTGTCTATCTGTTTGTATTGATTACATACTGAATTCTGTATGTTTATGTTTGTTTTGTTCACCTTATGAATGTCAAGTATCTTCTTTATTGTTCATTTCATTTCTACTGAAAAACATGTAATAAGATTTATTAATTATAATTATATTGTAAATAATTTTGGTATAAATAGTACGTCTATGATATTAGATATCGTACCTCATATACAGACAAGCTTTTATCCTTGTCAAAAATGCAATAAAAAGATTGTCCTGCAGACTGGACGCAGGAGGATCCTTTTGTTCTGCAAGATGTATTCTGTCAGGACGACGAAAACTCTGCTGTGGTACAATCGTATCAATATAAAAATTTTTTGTTAGTGATATACATACATTGGTAGGTGTTCTTAGTTTGTGAAATAATCATACTATGTAAATTATGAGTCATATACAAAATTGAAGAGTTAATATTATTCTCAAATAAAAATAAATTTGAAATACTTATGATAAGCGCATGAAATATATTTAAAATTAAATTCTAACATAGAATTGTGATCTTGTAAATGAAAAAACTCGAAAATAGAAGAACAAATATTTGTTATTTATAAGTTTATTTCGATCAAATTTCTGTTCGTCTTATATTTCTTTCAAAACAAATTATAAATGATTCATTTTTTTTTCTTTTAGAAATAAGATAAATATTTTTTCTTATGAAAAATAATTTTATATATTTATATTAATTATTATCAACTATACCCATAAATTCATATTCTAATCAATGATGTCAACGTTTGTCCCGATTTTTTTTTCCGATATTTATGTATTGATTATATGAACGTTGAAAAAGTAGACTTTTAATTATTGTTAGATTGCTTTTCTATGACTCAAGCTATTACTAATCTTTACAATACTTAGAATTCAATATTTCTTATTTTTCAACGAATTTCATCACCATCTCTATCATGTGTATGTCAAAATCATATACATGAACCTATAGATTAGTTTATTATTTATAAATTACCACATATTCCACATTCAGTGGATCTAATTGTAGCAAATCATACATACAGATTATATCTATTTGGATAGTTCATCACCATTAGATCAATGGTATTCTTCATCATTA